TGTGCACCGGGCCTCTAGTATATATATATACATATATATGTATTTTTTTTTCCCAAAAACCCGCTCCCTCCTCTCCAATCTTGGTCTCTCACTAAATAATGCACACAGACGAACAGAAAATATCATAATGCCCTTTATAATATATCTCATTTATTATATCTTTTTTCCATTTTTGCTATTTCTTTACACCCCTTTTTCTCAAAATGGGTCTAAGAAGTCCCTGAGATCCCTAAATTCTTTATGGCAATTTTTTAAAATTCTGTCATTACTTCCAGATTCATTTTGAAAAAGTTAATACAAACATATTCTGGATCATCTCGATGGCCACCAAACTACAAGCACTGCTAGGCCATTTCGGGCACACACATCTGCATGTGCAAGAGACCACCCAAAGCAGGGGAGACCAACTAGAGAAACTATCCCACCCTCGGCCAGATCCGACCTGCCGCCTGTTTCTGCAAATAAAGCTTTACTGGACCACAGCCATACCTATCCCTTTATGTATCATCTATAGATGTTTTCATGCTACAATGGCAGAGTCGAGCAGCTGCAACAGAGAGCACCTGGCCTGCAAAGTCTGAAGTAGCTGCTCTCTGGTCTTTCAAGAAAAAGCATGTCAACCCACCTACAGCAACAGTAACTAATGCCGCATCGCTACACGTCTGGCTGCAACGGGACTAGCGCGTCCCCTCAGTCAAAATGACAACGACCATCCCAGTATGGGCTCACGCTGCCATTCCGTTACCGCAAGTCTATCCTTGAGGAGGTGCCTTCATCACGCTAAGGTTTATTCCTCATTGCTGAAACAGCATAAAAATTACACAGACTTCACGAACCAGTCATTTGACAAATATAAGCAGCTCTCAGATGGGAGACACATCTAGATGAACTAGAAACACTGCAGTGAATGAAAGAGACCAAGTCCCCACACCTTTGTGGAGCTTCTGTGATAGGATCAAATGCAGTCATTCGTGTACAGTGCCGGCCTACGGTAAGCTCAGGACAAATGGTAGCTGCTATTCTTACGATTACAACTATTATCATTATCATTATTACTACTACGACGACGACACAGGTAGTTTATAAACCTAGAGGATTAATTACATCATTTGTAATTAATAACACCATGCTAGACATTAATTTCATATGTTTACTTTTAAGAAAATCTTTGGGCTTTTGAAATTTATAAAGCAGGAAGTAAACATTTTAGAATTTTAATTATCTAAACTGACAAAATGATGGTGTCCTCATGTTCCACACAGTTATTACAAACCTGAATCAAACAATACCTGAAAACATGCATCAGAACAATCCGAGATAACAAGTGATAAGGTCATCACACTGATGAGCCAATAAGAAATCTGTTTTATAACTCAGATTAGTTTAATTATGTTATGGTTATTTAAACTACCCAAGTTTTAAAAACATACAGTGGAACTTTAGTATATTTACATTTGACTAACACAAATTCAACTACATGAGAGAGAAAGAGAATTATTTAAACGATGGGCAATCCCACACCAGGATCACCTGTTCCAAGAGAGTGTGAGAAAGAAAGTGAATCCACAGCTTCCTGCGGTCTTGGCTCCCTCTGGCCTCTGACTGAGTAAGCACCCCTTTCCTTTTTTCTAAAAACACAATTCAACTAAAGAAAAAAGTAGCCAGTTCCAACAGGAAGAAAAAACTAGCTGTGCCAGACCTCAAACTCCTTGTCTATGTGGGCCCCCACCACGGTTTGTTCCTGAGGAAATTTCAAAAGGAATTTTTACCTACTTCAGGCACTCGCTGATTTCAGAATCTAACTCCCAAGTAAAATGTGACTCAGATGCACGAAAGATAATCAAGATCTGCCCAACCACAAGGATTTGATACTAATGTTTCAGAAACAATGCTTCTAAGTTTCAATCGCTTTAGGAAATCATAGTCATGCAACGATTTTCTTAAAAGTTTGCAAAATTGTTCATACTATAGAAAAATTCTCAAAATTCAGAGCTATTGCATAAGGCTAGCCATAATTATAAAATAATTATGAAATATAAGCAACATGTCCAGTTACATATGGTGCCAACAAAATTAAAATATAGTATTCATATTGCCGTATCAATTTAACCAGCATATATGTATATGACTAAAGATTAGAAATAAATTAAAAATGAAAACGCATTCATAAGGCATGGGTTTTTTCCCGAAAATTTTATTTTGTCACTGTATTGCCTGGCAGTTTTTAAAAAGCTGAATACGTTTGATGTTTGTACTTAAAAGTGTTTTAAAATCTCTAAATATGTTTCCTAGGAGACACTCTTAGTAGTGAATATATACTTACTGACCCAAGTATTTTGGATGGCAATTTCTACCAAAATTTTAATGTATGCTACCTTTGGCCCAGTATATATGTCTGTCTATTTGTTTAAAAAGGAGAGGAGAGGGAAGGAGAGGAAAGGGTAAGGGGGGGAAACGGAAGCAGAGCGGACGCAGAAGGAAAGAAAGGGGAGATAAAACAGTGTAAAACGGCTTAACACCTTATGGTACAGCCATACTATAGAGTATAGTCCACAGATACTAAAAAGAACGAGGTAGTTAAGTGCAATTTATGAAAAGATGGTCGAGACATGCAAGTCAAATGCAAGTGAAAACACAGTATCACATGTGGCAGACGCTGTCCGTGCCCTGCCAGGAGACCCCCACCTGGCTGCCAGCTTCTCCCAGCCGCGCTCCTCTCTGGAGAATGGCCTTCAGTTGGACGCTCCTGAAGCAATGCCTGGGAACTAATTCACCCCCCACAGGGGCACCTGGTGACCGACAGACACGGTAGAAAGCCCAGGCCCGGAAGTTCTGGATCCAAGTAAAATGGAGTGAGCACACACCAACCTTCCTCTCCCCCTGAACACTAAGCCTGCGGAGTGCGTGCTGGAGTTATCTGAGCTCTGTGAAAAGTAAACAGCAGCAGGTGGGCCAGGGAAGAATCCAGAATTCACAGTCCTACGGAACAGATGGCGCGTCTGCCATATTTTCCCTCTCGCATCGCCTGGCTTGACCTCAACCCAGTACGAACCCCCAGCCTAGGATGTGATATAGACACAGGGAGTCCTCAGAGCCCTCGCGTGCTAACTCACAGAAAAGGAGAACTGAAGCCCAGAGAGAGCGAGAGACATTTCCCAGGTCGTCTTCTCCCTCTTTCCTTTTTCTTCATTTTCTCCCACCCCAGCCAGCAGGCAATCCCGTAGTGGAGGCGAAGGCAGTAGCAGCAAAAGCCGCTGGCCTGGGAAGCGGCAGAATTTAAAAATGTGGAGAAAAGGAATCCTCTGTTGGTCAGCTGCAGCTCCCAGGGGCCCCTGGATTTGTTCTCTCTCCTCTGCTGCTGCGGTGCCACTGCAGGAGGGGCAGTTTCTGGCCAGCGGACAGGAAAGGGAGTCCAGAGTAGCCAGACAGTACCAGGGCGCTAACGGGGCAGAAGCACAGGAAAGCAGCCCATACAGCTGTTTATGAAAGGGGGAAGGGAAGGCCGATCGCACCCCAGGGATCTCCTCCAACCGCACACCCAGGGATCCGACCGTCGCCAGCAGACCAACGAGCTCTGAACGTCAATCTCACAGAGAGACCTCCACAGTAAGCACGCTCTCCACTTCCTGCCACTGGGGCTCCTGGCACGTTGCCTTTTCTTGGCCTCACAATCTGGAGATAACCAAACCTCCTCTCATTCCCTTCACACACCAGCTCCGACTTCAAACCCTGCATTTCCTTCCTCGTAATCACTCTCATATCCACCCTTTTTTCCCATTTCAACTGCCAAAATCTTTGTCCGCACGAATGAACAAATGAAATCTCTGACGCCACGGTCTCAGGACTCTGCGCCCCCTTCTTCCTGTCGTTCATCCTGTGGACACACAGAAATCCACGAGGTGGATTTACTCAAACAGGTTCGATCTCCAGTGGATCCTAATCACCCCACTCAGAAGCTTCATTCCACACACACACACAAAAGCAGAGCACAGAGTGAAATATTCCAGAGAAAGACAAATACCATGATCCCCCTCATAAGTGGAATCTAATAATACACAAAAAAGAAAAAAGTCAAACTCACTCTGGAAGCAGAGTAGAATGGTGGTAGCCAGGGGCTGAGGGGTGGGGAAAATGGAGAGATGTTGGTCAAAGGATACCAACTTTTAGTTATAAGATGGGAATTGAATGTACAGCTTGGTGACTATAGTGGATAATACCATACTGTATACCTGAAGTTTGCTAAGAGAATAAATCTTAAACATTCTCAATATACACACAGGTCACACACACACACACACACACACACTCACACACACTCACACACACACTCACAGGTGACTATGTGATGTGATGGGTGTGTGAAAAAACAAAACTATAGAAATGGCAAAATGATCTGTAATCAACAGAGATTTAGGGGGAAGAAGAGGGGTGATAGATAAAGCAAAGACTTTTGGGGTGGTGAAACTTCACTATAATGGTGGATACATGACCCTATGCATTTGTCAAACCAACAGAAATTTACAACACAGAGTGAACTTAATGTGTGTAAATTTTTATTAAATCCTTTAGGACATCAGCGGATCCAAGGATGAAATGCAGAACGTGACAAAACAATGGAAGTATGTTACAAATGTCTGAAACAACCTCACTGAAGCGGGGGGTGGGGGTGGGGGGTGGAAGTGACTTTGGAAATGAATGGTGTCTGTAAGACTAAAAGCAAAATAAAATATCCCTACGTACTATACTCTAGTTTCCCATCAGTCATACGGTACCAATTCTAATGTAACAATTACATAAAGAGATGGCATTCGGAAGAGTGTGAGGTTACAGAGAAGCAAGATGAGAAGCTAGAATGATCCATGTGGTAGTGGATTACAGTTGCAGACATCAGTATAAGATCATGTTTCTCTTAATACGGATACAGATAGTTACATACAGAAGTAATTATAGCTATGTGTATATGCATGGGTTAGTATATACACATATGTCCTTGCTCTGTCAACTGAGATGTAGAAACAACATCCCTAGCTGTAATGAGTATATACCTAATGCCCAAATGCTGGTTTGTAATACCTGAACTATATGTAATGAACATGCCTAGCCTAAATGTTGGTTTATAATACCTTGGTTTATCATACCTTTCTCCAATAAAATGAGTGAGGCAGGAAATACACAAGATGAGCCTGGAACATCTTGTAATACAGGAAGTAAAGAAGTTTGGGGAGAAAACTAAACCATGTGATACGAGTATATAAAAGGGACCCAGGAGCCAACTGAAAGCTCCCAGCAGCCAAAGCTGGAACAACCTCCGCAACAAAATAAATAAGGCAGCATCGCATGCCCATCCGTCAGGACTGATATGAGTGAGCGAATGTATTAATAAATGGAGAGCAAATACCCTGTGAAGAAGTCCAAGTAATTTATGTCGATGCTCAGCCCTGCAGAAAGTGAAGCACACGCCCACTCCTTAAGTGCGGGCTGCGCACAGGGCCTTCCTTACAAAGACACAGCATGGGGGGGGGGGGCGCAAAATAACTGGACGGTGGAGAAACCTGGTCATACCTCAGCCAGTGCAAGTTCACCATCAGCAGGTAAGTCATGCTGACGGTACACATCCTTGACACGATGTGATGAAACGGCATTTTACCTCTGTTGTCTTCCTCCCCCAAACGATAAACCCAGTTTAAACCCGAGAAA